AGGGAGGACATAACAAGCGAACGTGTAAAAATGCTCCACGTAGAATTTAGTTAACACTCTGACATGTATTAGTGCTCCAATGATTTGTCAATACTATGATGACATTGTCAAGTAATAAATTCTGAAATGCCTTTCGTGAATAGATTCTGGATACATTTAGTTGCAGTACTCTGTTGGATACATTCGAATACAACCTTGTCCACATATACTTTGACAATTTATTATAACAGTGCATGAGTTATATATATAACTAGTCAAAATACATCGGAATACAACTATATACTCAGCTATAATATAACAAATTCAATAAATACATATAACATGATTATATTTTGTATACATTTAGTTGCAGTATTGTGTTGAATACAATCGAATACAACCTTGTCCACATATACTTAGACATACAATGATAGACAGTGTCTGAGTTAAATATACATAACTAGTCAGAATACATCGGAATACATCTATATACTCAGCTATAATATAACAATTTCAGTAAATACGTATAATCTGTTCAATATACATATAGTTTCTGACTTTGATATTAACCTGTTCAATACGTATAACCTGTTCAAGCCAAGTGACTGAATATTAATACATACTTATATCCTGTAAGATACATATGAATATAAACTGAAGGTTAAGCATGAATACTTATGAATAAAACAATGAAAAATAGATTGAAAAGTTGCAATTGTCATACACGAACACTATTGATAAAGTGATTAAAACATGATTTTTTCTAACTGAATACCATCTTCACCAAAAAAATTATTCAAAAAATAGTATTCACCTAAAAACAACATTCCAAATCTACATTCACCTAAAGCTACTCTAACACTACCTGCAACTTTGAATCTGACTCCGTGATTTGCCTAGCAATCTTTGAGGGTGCTTCATTCTCGCTTATGGTATCAACGTCTATCTTCCGCATAGCATAGTCCTAGAGGAGAGCACCATATCTTTGACGGAGTAGATTGGAATCAAATGTTGTTTGTGGAATCTCACCAAGAGTGCTCAGAAACTCTGCGTATGCCGCAACATGCACCCCACAATCCCAGAAAAATGTTGATTGAAACAATTAAAAATAATTCATACAATTAGATTTTAAAATGATACAAGAATGATGATTGAATACATACATGTTCCCAGCTTCTGTTGAGGCAAATTTGATATGAAAACAACTTCAGAGGGATCAGTATATGACTTGTCAGTGTATGCTGAGTAAGTAGACCAATCTATGCCTTGACTATCTCTGTAAAAGCCACTGATTGATAGATACAGAGGTACAAGCTTAGCTAGCTTATCTATCTCAGAAGCTACATAGGCATCATGATCTGTAGATCTGTACGAGTCATACACTTTGATACATCTCTCCTTGAATGAGACAACAACCAATATCCAGTGTAGTTTGTCCTTCAAGTTGACTGGTATCAAGACATTGTCAACAGTATGCCAAGGTACATTAGCTAGTAATCTGTAGCCCCTTATGTACTCACATACCACATCCTCTTCTTTGGCTACATTAGCATTACTATATGTATCAGCATACCTGTCGAAGATTTCAGCGATTCTTGTCTTGAATATACAATCAACAGTTGTATACTTGAAGTTTCTTGTTTGGTTGTACTTTCCCTTCTTTCTCAGATAGTAGAATATGACGTCAATATGCTATAGACAAATTTAATTACATAGTGTTAGTCCAATACATCACACATATTAAAGAATAATACAGCTGAATACAGAAAAATACAACTGAATATAGCTGAATACAGAAAGATACATATTAAAGAATACAGCTGAATACAACTGAATACAACTGAATAATACAGCTGAATATAGCTGAAGTACATCATAGAGATTCAGTTAAATACATGTTATTCAAAACTAATGAGTCAATTAAATACATATTACTGTACTACATATGTTAGTTACAAACTACTAATAACTTTGAAAATATAGCAGAATACATTAAAATATAGCAGTACTTCAGGAATAATGATGCCATTAAATACATCATACTGATTCAGTTAAAAACATGTTGCATTTTCAGCTAATAAAAAATGTTAAGATACATCTAAATACAATTAAATACAGCAGATTTATTAGTAACATATGCATACAATTGAGTACATCAAAGTAATGTAAGACAAATTTGGGTTAGAGCTCAATTTGTGAATTATACAATTAGACAAACCAATACTAAAGAAATGAATTATAATGGAGTTGGAAGGGGTAAAACTTACATTGTCATCCCATAGTTTACCGTCAAAAGATAGAAGGTAAAACCAATTTTTTGAATTGACTTGATCAACTCCAAATCCAATGGTATATGAAGTGTTGACTTGTTCTTCTTGTAATGGTCTTCCAAATTACTTCTACAAGTATGATATAAAAAAGGAATTATATCCATTTTTAAAAATATAAATACGTAATAGACATACCGGGAAAAAACTCACTTCTGCTCATGTTTAGCAAGAAGACCATCACGAACCCATTTGTCGTATTCCTGAATGATTAATGTAGGGTGCGGCCCCATTATTGAATCATCCTCAAATGGGTGTCTTTTTTCAAAAATGGGGGTCAACTTTACTGAGGTACCTGTTGTTCATTGAATTCATGTATAGAGAGTTTTAATTATAAAAATCATGGGGAAATAGATAATTAGTTTATAAAACACTAACCTGCGGAGTCGAAGTTAGACTCGTAAGGCGAAGAATACCATTTACTTGGTCGCTGATTCCTATGAGATGGAACAGGGGTTGATGCAACTTTTTTTGCACTATTGTGTATCACAATTCTAGTTTCTGGAATTTGACTGGGAAGAAACTCGTCGTCCAGCTCAAATTGAGATACATAGTAATCTGTAGATACACCCTCTTGGCCTATAGGTGGTAAGTTGCACGACACCTCTGATGTAGTATTCCCCTCCACCCTTGTCTCCACACAAGGAGCATTAACCACTGCATTCTGTTAGTCGTATGCATCATTGTTAGAAGTATGTTTAAAGACAACTGAATACAGCTGAATACAACTGAAAAATACAGCTGAATACAGAAAAATACATCTGAATTTGCTGTATTACAGCAGAAATTCATGAATAAAGAGGCAATTAAGTACATCATAGAGATTCAGTTAAATACATGTTATTCAAAACTAATGAGTCAATTAAATACATATTACTGTAATACATATGTTAGTTACAAACTACTGATAACTTTTAAAATACAGCAGAATACATCTGAATACATGTCCTACTTAGATACATCTGAATACATGTCTTACTTAGATAACTTAGAAGTATGTTCAATGAATACATCTGAATACATGTCTTACGAATACATATGAATACATGTTAGAAGTATGTTCAATGAATCTCCTTAAGAATTACAACAGAAATACAGATGTATATAGGATTAATATAATTTAAAATACTGAATTATTCTGTATATACTTGTATTTCACAATGTTATAAAATTGTTTTATATATGATTAATCACAACAAGAGCAAACAGGAGATCTAAACATATACTAAAGAGGTTAAAAAATGTTAAACCTCAATATTATCGCCGACTAGTGTATCAGTCTGTCTGTGACTTTTTGGAATATCTTGCAAGTTGGCTTCATATGGCATTTCAATACCATCATCACGTGTCCCTGTGGTTTCCTTTCTCTGGTGTAAGCTTTGTTTTTGCTGATTGTGTTGAAGATGGTCAGCAAGCATCTTAAAGTTATCATTGATCAATGATCTCAGAGACTTGAACTCGCCCACAACCTTAGCAAGACAGAAATAATTAAAAAGGTGCATTTGTACACATACGAATGTTAAGCACTAAACTGTAATGTTTAATGTGATAAAAAACTCACGTATTCTTTGAATGAATTTATGTCTTTCCTCAAAGAAGATACTTCATCATTTTTGGAATCTGCCAGCTGATTGTGATGCAAAACATTTTGTGCAATTTCAGATACACCAACTGGAGATGTATTTGAGGGATGAATATTCTGTTCCTTGTGCTTTATATGGGGCGGTGATGAAGATGGACCAACACTTGCAGCATGTTTCTTCTTACACTGGAGATCAGGTGTAGGAGAAAAGTCATCCGAATCCTCTGCCGACTTGTCTGAATGAGTAGGAGTAGGATTGTTCTCAACAGCAACGCCTACTGGAGGAATCTGAATAACGGCAAGCTCTATATCGGTTGGATGGATGTCCTTGTAAACAATCTGAAAAATGAAATACAATCAAAGTCTTACTACAATGGATGTATTTTAATACTGGAATCCAAATGTAATTTGTATTCAAATGAAGGCAGCAGTAATGATTAGTAAATCATATGCAACTGTATTCAACTGTATTAATGAAGGCAGCAACAACTGTATTGAAGTTTCAATTAACAAAATATTCAGCAGTACTAATGAGAATAGCAGCAACTGTATTCAGCTGTATGCAGCATTAATGATTAGTAAATTGTAAAGTAGCCACGATACAAATTGTATATTACCATGTTTCCCTTGTCATTGAACATGCTGTTCATCAGATAAGCAAAGTTTGGTTGATTTCCGGTGGTTCTCCAATTGAGTATTCTGGGGATCACATTATCAACTCGGAGTGCAATTTTGGGATCAACATTTGAACAACACTCATAAAACCACACTTGCATAGCTAGGGGCATCCCATCTATCCTGTAATACTTCTTCTGAGCATCCATCTTCTTGCTAATAGATTGATCGAGTTTCCAGCAGTTACGTGGGCAGACATCCATAACCGGTACCAATCGAAGATAAGGGTAGAGGACGACCACAGCGGAGCGAGTTCGGATTCACCATCCACACATAGGAATTTCGATCGACCTCGTAGGGAAAACTCAAAGATTCAAGACCGAACAAGGAAAGATATCGGCCATATCAGGATGATAGGAGGCCTAAATTTACGAGGAACGACCGCGGCTATGAGAGGAACAGAAGACCGTTANGTGTATAGCAAATACATTGTCAGGAGTTCCTTCTAACTGGAGAGCCGTGAAGCATCTGAAGAGTTGATGTTGGACTTCACAACGCTTCATTTGAAGGAAATTTCCAAAACAAGTATTACCCAGTTGGTTGTACTGCTCTGGAGAAAGATTTTTTTTTTTAGCTCAGAGAATATGTCAGTGTTAGTATATACACTGATATGCGGTGCAAATATAGGCTGTTTTTTCACAAACAGCTTAATTCCCTGCATTTAACAAATGTAAAATACATATAAATACAACTGAATACAACACATATTTCATAAATACAACTGACATGAATAAATATGAATAGAACTAAAATCAACTTAATACAACACATATTTTATAGTAAACTGAATACAACACATATGTCATAATACAACTGAAATAAATACACTTGAATACAACACATTTTTCAAAAGCCAACCGACAAGAATATATATGAATACAACTGACAACTATAAATACATATAAATACAACTGACAACTATAAATACATATGAATACTACTGACAACTATAAATACATATGAATACAACTGACAACTATAAATACATATGAATACAACTGACATGAAAATCTTTATAAATACAACTATAAGAATACATCAGAATACAACTGACAAATCTGTAATATTAATTTCTATAAGTACAAAAATACATTGAATATCCTTTTTGAACAGAGAACTCAACCGTTGTATACATATAAATACAGATAAATACATCAATAATACAGATGAATACATCATAAAATACCTTTTCTTCAAGTGTATCCGAGCTTTTACTTGCTTCAACCTCCTTCCCCTTGACAGAAAGCTGGAGAAATATGTTTTTTCCTCTTTTTCGCAATGGGAAGTCTTGTTTCCTTCAGTGATTTCTCGACTTGGGTTTGTTTGAAATTGTCATGTCGAGATTTTGTTCTCTTCTCCAATGCCAAATTTTTGGCTATACCTGCATCCAATTCCCCTTGAGTGATTTGCAAGGAGAAAGAGGGTCCATCGAAATTGAGAATTTTAGTGGGTATACCTCTAGTAATCAACTTGCTGGGTGTATTCTCAGACATTTTGAGAATACGCTTGGATACTGTTGATTAGAGAAAATTTGGTGAGTAGAGATGTTGTGAAAAAGCAAAAACAACGAAAATCAAAAAAATTAAATACTTACCACACTAAATATAGAAACAAATGAGTAGAATCTAGAGGAGATTAAGGTTTACACCGAGATTGGGGGAAGGAGGAAGCAGCAGTGTGGGTGAGGAGGTTTCTCTGATTTTGAGCGTGATTTGGAGCGTGATTTTGAACGTGTGTATGGAAGTTGTATGAAAAGCGGTAAGTATGAGAGAGAAAAATCGGAGGATGGAGAGAGAAAAATAAAATATAGCGTATTAAGTGGCTTAAGTGTAGGATATAACTAATATTAGAAAATTTGCTATAACCCATAAAAGGTATCTATAGGAGGTAATTATTTAAATGGTATTTATTTTAAATAAATAGGGGGTTAACCTTTGCTATAGGAGGTAAAAATTCCTTAATGAAATTAATATATATTTAGGGCAAAAGTAAACCTTTCACAAATTTGAGGGGTAATTTTGGGCCTTTTCCATATTTAATTTTTAATGGCTTTGTTAGTGAAAAAAAGAAGGCAAAAATGAACCTTTCGCAAACCACGGGGAAAAATATGAGCCAGTTTTGCAACAAGGGGAACAAAGAACTACTCAACTTTTTTGGTTTATGTTTACAATTATTGTTGTCATTCCTTTATTTAGTTCATTGAACATAAGATATTTAACTATATAATAAATGAAGGTTTTGGTATGACGAAAGGGTATTTCTGTTAATATATGACCTAAACATGGGCATTCTATGTGAACTTTTGTCTTCTCAAAAAAGGTTTCTTCGATTAGAGACCCACTACCCAAATCTTTTTCTCTCTCCAAAATTTGGGTATATATTTACCTCTCTCCATCGTTTTCTTCCTCATCTGTTTGGTGAGTTCTTCTTCCCTCTGCTATCTCATATTTCTTCAGTTTTGTTTCAATTTTTTTGGTTTCTCTGCTTATATTTTCTAGCCTATATTTCATTAGCTACATCTGGTAAATTTTTCCATATTCATTTCCTTTTATGCACTGATTTCTGCAAATCAGTTGTGGATTCCTTTGACAGTTTGTCGATTTTTCCTTCAATTTTGGTTTTCCTACTTTTTCGCATAGTTTCTAGCTAGATCTTTTACATATAGGTCTTGTAATTCTATCTAATCCGCACATGCATGGTTGAAAATAGATGACTGGTGCATGTAGTTGTATTATTTTGGATTACTGATGGTTGACGTTTTTTTTTTTTTTTTTTTACTTTTGCCGCTAATAAATCACTGAAAATCAAGCATATGCAAAAATCTGTCATTTTAAATTTGTTGTTGGAAGATTGGGGATTTGCACTTAAAAAATTAGTTATTGACAGTATTAGTTATACTTGTAGACAATACTTTCATGGTGTTCTTTCAATGTAAATATTGTATATTACGGTTTGAGACAACTTCGATTTTAAGTGGTTTTTCTCTTCTTTTACTTTATTCTCTTTTTTTTTTTTTGGGGTATTCTACTCAATGTGAGATTTAAAGTACGAAGACTGATGAACCCAAGCGTTCGGTGATATGCCTGAAACAACTTAACTATTTGGTAAGAATTTTTTTTTTGTTTCTCTTTTGCTTTTAGCGAGTAAATTAGGGTTGCCTTGAATGATGTAAAGTTGTGCATTCTTGTGAATTGAGAATTTTTTTATTATCATACAAATATAGATATACTTCTTGATGGCTTAGAGCAATATTAGAATTTTATCTTACGTGTAAGAAACGAAACAACATTAGAATTTTGATTACTTATTTGTCCAAATGGATGTGCTGTTATTAGTAAGTTAACAGGTTGTTTGGATGGTTGTTACCCCTTGTATTGTATTGTATTGTTATCCTAAAATAATGTTTGTTTTGATTGTTTATTAAAAATTGATTGTATCGTATTGTTAAATCCATTGTTCCGGAACAACCAAAAGCCCCATTTTATGAAACAACCGATTTGGTGTGGTGGGATCGTTTCCTATTTACTTTTCCAATTATGCCCTTATTTATTACTCTATAATTCTATTTTATTATTTAATTTTTTTTATTTTAACTCCAAATCTCCAAATATTAATTAAAGCTTGAGAATCTTCAAAAATGAGAACCTGGGAACATGGAACGTCTTTCCATTTTTAAAATTGAAATATATTACAAGGATAGAATTCAAAATCAAATGATTAATAGCTCTTCAGGCTTATGATTCTTGTAACTCATAAATTAGACAATCTACTGCTCAACTCAAAAACAAAAGGCAGAAGATGAAATCTCTAGAAAAGAAACTCCAACCTTCTCGCAAAACTCCAAACTATAACTGTTGGAAAACATCTCGTCATACCATGCGCCAAACTTTGATGATAGGATATACAGGTTGAATGCTAATTAAACACATGAGATCAATTATAACACTAGCCATAGTATCGATTTTTGAAACTGCTTAAAGCCCACGTAACTAACGTATCCATATGACAACAGTAGATAAGCCACCCATCAATTGCAATAACAAAGCAGATGAATTAAACACCCCCTCAATCTTTATAACAAAAGGCAACTAAACATCAACTACAACTCCATAACAAAACAAATATAAGATAGTTCATAGAAGACGTACCTAATGGTACAAAGATTAAATCTGGAAAGCAAAGGGAGCCAAATAAAGGCAACGACACCAGCGGGTAGGAGCTCAGCAAATTCCAGCAGAAGCAGCCGATTTTGAACTCAGTTTTCAACTTAAAAAAAAAAATGAAAATCGCACAGAAAATTCCTTGAACCTAACACAGTAGCCTTGATAGCCCAATAACTTGAGAAACCATAGAACTATCTCATTCAAACTCTATTGCCCTTTTCTTTTGGAATGGGGCTGCTCGATTTTGGTTGTAGAAGGGAAATGGTCTCACTTCTATGGGAAATTGGGGATGGAAGGTGACAAACTCAGTTCGTCTGTTGCTGAAGAAGAGAGGAGTTAGAGGTTCTGCTCGGTCTCCTTCAAGATGAGACAGCCGTCGTTTTTCATTCTTCTAAAGAGGGGAAATTCTCCTTCTCTTGTGATCTGGTTCTTTTTAGTCCACAAGAAAGGGAAAGCTGCGCTAGGTCCCCAAAATATGGGGAAAAGGATCTGATCTTATTATGGTCTTTAGGGTTGGGATTTAATGAGAGGGGAATGGGTTATTGGGCCAGGCGGGTCGGGCGGGTTTGGGTAGGGAGATTGGGCTGGTGGGTGTTTAAAGATGGCCCAATTTCAATTCTTTTCCAATTCTTTCTTTTATTTCAAATTTTCCCTTTTTATTTTTAATTAAAATTCTACAAATTAAAAATTTTAAATTATCCAAAAGTGTGAAATTAAACTAATTAACTAATTATAAAAATTATAAACATTGCTTAATTCTAAATTAAAAGGGAAAAATCAATAAAAGGAAAAAGTATAAAAATGAAGCAATTTTTTTGTGATTTTCAATTTATTATAAAACAAGTAACTACCGATTGATCCTAAGAATGTAAAAATAAAGCCTAAATGCCATGCATGATATTTTTGGTATTTTTTCATGATTTAAATAACACTTCAACATGCTAAGAAAAATGCAACCTGAGGAAGAAACAATCTAAAGAAATTGACACTCCTATT